TTTTCCTGCACTGCAATAAAACACCCTGATGAAAGCGGAGAAGAGCTCGGGAAGGGAAGAATTTATCTTGATCCCCAATACAGTTCACCATGGTGAGGTAGTCATGTTGTCCGGAGCCTGAAGAAGCTGGTCACATTGTTCTCAGTCAGGAAGCAGAGAGATGAATGCTATGATCAACTCACTTTCTCCTTACTCTGTTCAGGATCCCAGACTGTGAAACAGTGCCTGGGAGATGGGTCTTCCCACCTCACCTCACCTAACATAGATAATCCTTTACAGGGCCAAAAGTTTGTCCCTTAGGTGAGTCTAGATCCCATCACGATGACAAGTAGTGTTAGCCTCACAGTTGTTAAAAACAAGACTAAGCCCACATCTCTAACCTTTGATGTCCAACTTCCCAGTTTCCCTTCTCATACTGAGCTTAATATGAATGCCTCTCACAAGCCCTTGGGATAAATAAATCAGGCCTGTGACTTCTCAGAGATCCTTCTACATTGTATGAACATCTCTGTTCTGAGAGGCCTAGCCTACTCCTGTGTCTCTTTATTACACAGCTCTCTATTATAATGAGTCAATTTAAAAAATCTATCTCTAGTCTCTTGTGTCCACTGGTTAGTCCTAGATTTAATCTTGCCAGCATTGAGCCTCTTACAAAGAGATTTTGATGTTAAATCAGAACATGTAAGTCCCTGGATAGAAAGCATCCAATTAACCCGACGGGTGGTTAAAAAGATATATATTATCTCCCATCAGCCATTCACCTCAAGAAAGACAAGGTCAGCCTTTATCTTAATAACAGGGAGGATGCCTTAATCGTGAAGAGTCTTCAGCACACATCAAAACAATAAGCTTGCAGAAGGCAAATGTCCTCCATTAGGTAAATTAGGATGAGTGTCTCAATAGGGGCCCCTCGCCTTGACAGGAGCAGAGAGGAAAGCGTGTCTCTGTCCATCTTCCTTCAGAAAAGGCAGCATTGATTAGATGCTGACAAGTATTTGTGTCTGAAGAGCAGCAATAAGCAACAAAGAAAAGGAATGCCTCCGCCATCGTCTTTCCACTCCATAGCGCACATAACAATCCATGCCAGCTTACGGCTGTAAACAACTCTCTCTGTGCCTTTCTTTAAAAGTTCATTGACTTACAAGGCCCTCGTAGACATCCTAGGACATAATTGGAGAGAGGGAGAGAGGGGAAAAGGAGAGCGAATGGGCCAAAAATCAGAAGTCCATTAAAGAATCAAACAGCTCTGAAAAATACTAAAAATGGTCTGTATCCATTAACAAATATTTAGCCAGGAGTTAAATATGGGTCCCCTGGAAGAGCAGCCCAGGCTCGTAACTGCTGAGTTATCTCTCCAGCCTGGAAAATCATTTTTTTTAATATTTGCTTTCCATGATTATACCAAGAACCATTATATGTAGAGTAAAAACATGACAATTTGTAACATGCAATAGTCTCAAATCTTTTTTTTTTAAAGATTAATTTATTTATTATGTATACAACATTCTGCCTCCATGTATGCCCGCACGCCAGAGGAGGGCGCCAGATCTCATTACAGATGGTTGTGAGCCACCATGTGGTTGCTGGGAATTGAACTCAGGACCTCTGGAAGAGCAGCCAGTGCTCTTAACCACTGAGCCATCTCTCCAGCCCCCAATAGACTCAAATCTTAACTGAGGTGTTTTGAGCAGCATTTGTTGGTATTATGTGGCATGATGATGATGTGTGCAATGCCAAGTGTGCATGTTGTATGTTCAGAATGGGGCTGCAGTGATGTCATCTCATGCAACATGGGCAAGTACTCCCAGAAACAACACAGATTCATGACACATTTGATTTTTTTAAATAAACTTTTGGTGGTTGTACTTCAGAAAACTTTTGCTGGTGCTAATTTTTTTTTTTTGCAACCCCCACAATTATTTACAAGATTGACATGAGGTCTTGAGATGGTTTTAAAAAAAATGGTCCCCAAAGGGAGTGGCGTTTTTAAGAGGTGTGGCCTTGTTGGAAGAAGTGTGTCACTATGGAGGCAGACTTTGAGGTCTTGTATGCTCAAGCTACTCCCAGTGTCACAGATCACTTCCTGTTGCCTGCAAGATGTAAGACTCTCAGCTCTTTCTCCATCACCATGTCTGCCTGCACACCACCAAGTTCCACCATGATGTACTGAACCTCTGAAATGTCAAGCAAGGCACCCCAATTAAATATTTTTCTTTATAAGAGCTGCTGCAGTCATGACATCTCTTCACAGCAATAGAAATCCTAACTAAAGCAGGGTCATAACTCACAATGTAATCATTTCTCAGAGGTTGCACTAGAGCCATTAAGGTGCCTCAAGAGATAAATGCTTCCCATACAAGCCTGAAAGTTGATTTGGGACCCTGGAACCCACAGTGGAAGAAGAGAACTGACTCCTAAACACTGTCCTCTGACCTATACACTCACCACACACATGCTGTGGTGCTCACAGCCAAGGAGACACACACATGCATGTACACAATAATAATGATATTAATAATAATAAAGGCAAGAAGTATACCTCACCATCATGTGATGGTGAAATCTGTCACCTCAATTGTATTAAGAAATGCTTATGATGTTAGTGAAGCACATATTTGAGCAGAAAAGTGAAGACTTTTCCAGAGAGAATTAACTAAAGGGGAAAGATGCATCTTGGATATGGAAGGCAACATCCCACAGGCTGGGGTCCAAAACCGAATAAACAAGGCAAACAAAGGAAGCAAGCATTTTTATGCTTGTTCATTCTTCTCTCCCCCAAAAAACACACATTTTGTGAAAAACATCAATTTTTCTAGCATCACTCCCCATGAGCTAAATACAGTGCCTGGTTCACAATAGATGTGCAACTAATATCAGGAGGGTGAGGCGCTAAGTGATGGGAGCAGTGAGGCAAAGATGTCCTTTCTCCTGAAGGGTTTTAGAACTACACCTACTCATGTGTTATGACCCTATGTTAATACTCTGACTTAGTTTTCTCTCACAGGTAAATATTACACGGACACACACACGCGCACGCGCACGCGCACGCACATCTCAGACAAGTAAACTCCTCTCTTCTCAGTCACTATAAAGAAGATTTGACAGCAAGTCCCGCAGGCCCACTTCTGAGAGATCGCTATGGAAGCTGAGGAAGTTAATGGGCTAAAAACATCTCAATATTTTCTCCCAGTGATGTCTAAGAGGTTTAATTCAGATGGATTTATTTTTTAGTTTTTTTTTATTTTTTATTGAGCTATACATTTTTCTCCACTCCCATTCCTTCCTCCCCTCTCCCCTTCTACCCTTTCCCATGACCTCCCACACTCTCAATTTACTCAGGAGATCTTGTCTTTTTCTCCTTCCTATATATATCCATGTATGTCTCTCTTAGGGTCCTCTTTGTTGTCTAGTTTCTCTGGCGTTGTGGCCTGTAGGTTGGCTTTTCTTTGCTTTATGTCTAAAAGCCACGTATGAGTAAATAAATATTATGTTTGTCTTTCTGGGTCTGGGTTACCTCCCTTAATATTGTTTTTTCTAGATCTATCCATTTGCCTGCAAATTTCAAGATGTCATTATTTTTTGTCACTGTGTAGTACTCTATTGTGTAAATGTGCCACATTTTCTTTATCCATTCTTTGGTTGAGCAGTATCTAGGTTGTTTCTGGCATCTGGCTATTACAAATAATGCTGCTGTGAACATAATTGAATCTCAAAGCATTAAAAGACACTTAAGGAAATGTTCAACATCCTTAGCCATCAGAAAAATGCAATTCAAACAACTCTGATATTCTATCTTACACCTGTAAGAATGGCCAAGATCAAAAACACTGATGGCAGCTTATGCTAGAGAGGATGTGGGGTAAGGAAAACACTCCTCCATTGCTGGTGGGAGTGTAAACTTGTACAGCTGTTTTGGAAATCAGTATGGCGTTTTCACAGAAAATTAGAAATCAATCTACCTCAAGAACCAGCAATACCACTATTGGGTCTATACCCAAAGGATGCTCAATCATACCACAAGGACATGGGCTCAACTATGTTCGTAGCAGCATTATTTGTAATTCAGATGGATTTGATAACACTCATTTAACACTCAAATCTGGGAAGCATGTTAAGAAATAAGCAGCCTCAAGCAGATCAGAACTGTTTACTGAATTATTATATCAGGTATAATAAAGGATATTTTTCCTCAAAGAAAACATGAAGGGTCTCAACTTCAGAAACAAATGGAATTGGGTATTCCTCTAGGTAACACCACCAAAGTTCTTCTATCTCTAGCCCACTGTGAGTCTCCTTTTCCATTCCAGAACTTCAGAGTCCTCTTGTCCTGTGTCCCCTATACTTACAAAATGAAGGGATAAATATCTTTACAGTGAACTTTGAGTTTTGTTTATGCAGTCTGTAAGCTACCTAGTTAGCCTTCTGCTTGGAAAATGATGATATAGCAATGCATTACACTGCACTGCTCAATTTTCTATGCTTTCAACCCTTTTGAATCTTTGTGACAGTCTTGTGGCGTTTTTAGTTACAAGATTATTTCTTTGCTCCTCCCCAAATTAACACTAAGAAAACAAAATCTAAAGTTTGTCCAATGTCACATAACATACTATGGCTAAACCAAGGCTAGACCCCAGTCCTAATCCTCTGTCTTTTGCTTTGTTTGAGCCTGGAATGATCACTATTCCTCCCTTTCCAACTGTGGCAGACATTATTTATCAATCACTACCCTTCATCCTGATGCACCTAGAGGCATCTTTATTTAGAAGCCCTTTCATCACTGTTCCAGGCAGTCAGCACCAATCGATCTCAGGTTTCAAGCTAGGAGCAAAAACCTATCTGCCTTGCTGCACTAACCAAGTTGCATCTGTAAATTAGGAAGCCTTGATGCACTGCTTGCAGAGGGGGAATGTACATTAAAGAAATACCAGGGGACTAGGCAGTGGTCCCTGAGCAGATCTGACTCTTCTCATTCACACACCTTGCTCCGTTCCTTCCACAAGCGTGACAAACAAACGCAATAAGGTTGAGATGGAGAAATTCGATAAGGCAAAAGTGAAGAATACAGAGACACAGGAGAAAAATCCTCTGCCTTCAAAAGGAACGATTGAACATGAGAAGCCAGCTGACGAATCACAATGAGGGGAGCGCCGCCGATGTGTACCGTGACAGTCCACACGTGGCCCCTGCTTATTTTCCTTCCTTCAGCTCTTTAGCTTTATAAGACACAGAAGTTGGGTCAGTTTAAGGACTGTGCTGACCCTTTCAGGACAAAGAATCAGAACTGCATACAACAAAGGCCTCCCCTGCCTCTCACAACCGTATTCTGGTCTGACTGACAGGGAAGGAAAAGAACTCACCTGTTGATGAAGGAAAAAGCGGGTGGGAGGTGGTGAAATAAAGACAATTCATGATTGTCCAAGGCTGTTCAGGCTGTAAAACGCAGTTCAGTAACAGTGCCCTTTGTTGTTGCTGCTATTCAAACTGCTTTAATTATTGGAATGCACAATTTTTAAACCAGAAAAGGAAGGAAAGGATGGATGGAGGGAGGGAAGGAGGGAGGGAGGAAGGGAGGAAGGGAAGGAGAAAGGAAGTGACTGAGGGCGATTGCTACCAAATCTGATGACCTTTGCTGGATTCCTGGGAACTACGTGGTGGGAGAAAAGAACCAACTCTCCAAAGTTTCCCTCATACTTTACACTACAAACACACACACACACACACACACACACACACACACACACACACACACCAATCAATTAATTGGTGCAATTAAAATAGGGAATAATTAAATACATAGAAGGTAAACTTCTAAAATAATCCACCTGATGAATTTTGAATTTCCCATTTTATAGTTGCAGGCCTGAGTTTAATTTTATTCTAGTTGTTATAGGAAGCAAGGATAAGTCATTGCCACCACCTGAAATATTCCACTGTTACATGCAAAAAAAAAATGTTAATTGCACCCTCCTCCTCCATTAATGAGCTAAGTGATGGTTTCAACCTCTCCCTGGGTAACCAGTGTGTGCACATCCCTGCCCTGGTCCCACTATGAAAACACTTAAATGGTGCTTTTTGCAATCAACCCAGCTTGAAGCAATGGCTTTAGAGTTGACGTGCAAGCTCTTAGATAACATCTTACATAAACTCAAATGGTCTTCAGCTGTGGAAAACAAATGAGAGAGTGTCTCTTGGAAACTCTCTGTTTGGATATTTCATTCTCCAGTTTAACTGGGGTCTTAAGTAATAATAAAACTGATACCATACTTGAAGCCCTAGCAAATCATGTCTTCTTAGATGACTGCATCTTTCATACCGTACCATCCCCAGTAAACAGCTTTGACATAGATGCTTCTTCAGTTAACAGTTAACAGAAATTGACATCTATTTAATATATTCTAGGAATAAAAACACAAATTTAAAAGTGTCTAAGAACTGATAACTTTCCCAGGACTCCAGCCCAAACTGAAGTTGTTGACAGAATCTGTCTGAGAATACCCCCTTCTGGATTCTGTAAAGAGATTCAGTTTTTAAAATCACCTCTGAAACAGAAATGAGCACTTTCCCCTACACTATCTAATTGCTGTGCCTAAACTGAGCAGATGGGGCCTTGGGGTGGGTCTACCCTCTTGAGATCGCCAAGCATTTGTCTGTTTAATTGTACTTTAAAAACAGATTGTTCTGCTCAGGCATCTGTAACCAGCAGCATTTGGGAATTTGCCCACGATGTTTGATGGAGGTCATCCAATCCTCAGGTCACCTACTTCATATTTCATCGTGACCTCCTTTCTCCAGGTTATCCTTGAAGAAGGATACCTGGTACATCCTGAATATCAGAGGGCTTTGAGCTTTGGTCCCTCTGACCAATCTCTGGCTCAACCATAATGGCTGACCTAGCCCTAGAAGATGCTAGGCAGTCTCCTCAGAGCTTGGGGAGATTTTTCTCATAAGCATCCTAAGCAAAAAGTGGACTTTAAGGTGATATCTATTTCACCAACGAGTAAACTGAGGCTCTGAGATTCGATCATGCTTCCACATTGTTCATTTAAGAGGAGCAGAGCCCAGACTTAGTGTAAGAATACAGGGCTTTGGGGCTATGCTTTGTGGTAAGTCGCCTCCTAGCCAATGTCATTCCATTCCAACACTCCAGGAAACGACAGCAGTGGCAGAGTTTTCCATGTTCTTCCACCTACCCATGTTGCTGTATTGAACCAACAAAGCATTTTATCCTCATGACCCAAAACACCAAGACGATAATTCTCTTATCAGTATCAACCATGGCTTAAAATGTGTCTGCCATCGAAATTTTTCTTTCGGTTACTCAGTATATGAAATCCTTTCTCATAAAGGGGAAATTCCCCTGCCCAGTTTAAAGGTCTTATTAGAAGCCAGGGAGTGAAAAGAGGATGTTTGTTCTCCTTTCCAAATTATCTTGAAAACAGATCACTGGGACATGCCTAGAAACAGCAACTAGAGACCCAGAGAATGAGAAACTATAGAATCTATTCTGAGGACAGGTAATCACCCTTAAAATGCCCCATTTCCTGGGAAAATATGGCCAGTGGTGTCCACTGTGGTGAGCAGTAGACATGTTGCTAGTGGTTTCCATAGCTCAGCTCTTTGGCCAGGGTCTGTCCCCTGTCCTAGCACTGGTCCTGCTTGTTGGACCTCTCTCTACTTGTGCTGAAACAGCCAGCCTCCCTCCAACCCACAACCACACTCTACCCAATGGCCTTGCAACACATTTCTTCCAAGATTATAATAGCCTGGTTTCGATGCTTCCCCTGAAGGGAGGTAAAAGTCAGAATCACGAAAGTCTCCATTCTCCCTGATTCCCCGATGATAACTTCACTAAAGGAGAGGCAGAGGAATCTCGTTTTATAATAAAATCCAGAATCTTGAATTTCTGCATTCTTAGATAACACTATCTATCTAGGAGTAAAGGTCAATGCTAAAAGAATTCTCATTTCTATCTACATGACCGTAACAGCTAAATTTACCAGGCTTGGAGGGTGCTGCGAATAGAACCACGCGACTGATCTCATCAAGGTGGAAGGACTTTGAAAAAATACAAAATATCCTGGGGAGGAAAATATCATGTCTCTAGATTGAAGAGAAAATGCTCACTGAATACTGAAAAAGGTGAGGAGATTTCTTTAGTGAATAAGGCTTTACGAAAGAAAACATACTTTAAAAATCAAATGAATGAAAACTGGGGAACACAGAATGTATAGGCTCCGTGTTTTAGTTTGACAGTCTTCAGGTATGCGTGTCTTTGTGCACATGTTATAAAAAAAAAAACTTAAATGTTTCCTGTCCAAAATAGTGCCCCAGCTACTTAGACTTGGATTTCTGTTAAGATATTTCCTCATTCAATGACTTTTCATGCATTAAATATTTCTTCGAGCCCTATAAATACACAAATAATAATGGTTATCTTCTATAGTACCAGAAGGTGCTGTGAAGGCCACTAGGGGAAAAAAGTCATCAACAATCTTGTCCAACTATGAGCTACAAAATGAGTGGTCTGGCAAGATATACTCATGGGTACAATAGTGTCATGAATGTTATAGGTGCTACCAATCACATTCTGGTTGAGATTAAGGCTTACTACACATGAGCAACACATGCCTAGTACTGGTAGGTAAATCTGGTCAAGAAACCATGGTGAGGAGCTCACAAGCCCTAGGGAGGTACCTACTACTATTTTTCTAATTGCACATAGTATCAAACTGCCTCCTCATTTGTATCTCTATACTCATATATTAGTGTAGCTCTTAGTCTTCATCAAAGAAGCTTCTCGGTACAGAAGGTGCTTAACACAAAACCTGACAGCTGGTCCGTGTAAAACATAATCCATCTGTGGCACACTCAGCCACAAATAAAACAACTATATCACAACCCATCCTCCCCCCAAAACTCAGCAAACATCACAGAAGGAGGAGTGGAAAGATTGCAAGAGCCAGAAGTAGAGAACAATGCAAAGAAGCAATGTTTTCTGGAAATAACAGGAACACTGTACTCATGAGCTCACAGCAGCTATGGTTGCCTACACAAGACCTGTACAAGTGCAAACCACTCAACATTACAGCATGAAACAAGGAGCGATTCATGAGTCCCCATCTCCAACTGAGGAGCTATAAACAGTCTATTGTTGGCAGAGGCTGCTCGTTCATTCCCAGCCACCCAGACCCAAAATAATCACACAGAAACTGTATTAATTAAAACACTGCTTGGTCAATCACTTAAGCATATTGCTAGCTAGTTCTTATATCTTAAATGAACCCATTTACATTATTTTATGTATTGCCACTAGGCTTGTGGTTTATCAGTGTCTTTCTCCTCCATTGGCTACATGGTGTCCCTCTGATTCTGCCCTCTTTCTCCTCCTCTATCTGCTTGGAATTCCTGCCTTGCCCTATTTTGTGCTGCAACAGGCCCAAAGCACCTTCTTTATTAACCAATGGTATTTACAGCATACAGACTGGGAATCCCACATCAGTCTATGGATTCGGGGTGGGGAGGAGAGCTTATTTCCTTTTAAAGATGTGGTCCCTGGTTGGGTCAACTATGCTCCAGAGGATGGCCTTGTCACAAACTGGACTGGGTGGGTTATTTTAAAAGGAGGTGGGCATGAAGTTGGGAGAGGGGTTGATGGTAAAGAGTGGATATGAAAAAAAGTTGGTGGAAGACTGGGGGTAAATGTGATCAAAATACATTGGATATGAAATATGTGGGGGAAAATCTCACAGTTAATAAAATATTGTATTTTTAATTGTTAAAACTGGCAAGTCCTTCAGCCTTGAAAGCTCTAGGCTGATGGGGAAAGGAGTTCCTGAGAATGTTCATAGCACAGAGTGGTGAGAACTGAGAGATGTGGGAAGAACAGTGAAAACGAGAATGTGGGAAGCTTGGTGCACACACCAGGAAAGACAAGCAACATTTAGGTGGACCTCAAAGGAAGAATATTAGAAGCTGATTCTTAGCTAACATGTATTCAGCTTTGTTTTACAAGCTACATGTACTTGTACCTATTTCTTCCAGAATGCTCTCCCATCTGTTTCATTTTTGAAGATTTACCACCATATACATCAATTAGTGGTTCTCAACTTGTCAAAGGAATCATTCACAGGGGTCACCTA